TATGTTATGTTATGTTATGTTATGTTATGTTATGTTATGTTATGTTATGTTATTATATGTTATGTTATAATTTAACAACTGGGTTAATATATCTGGTCAGAATGAAACTGTCAAAAGTTTAAGACTGTAAGAAAGTTCTTATTACCAACTGTATCCCTTATTCAGAAGATAAAATAACGAATAAATAAATTAGGTCAGACAAATGTTTTGTTAGACTATTGTTTCTGTGTGTTTAGCTTTTTTTATTCTGTATAGGTTTCCTAAATTCATTCATTACAATTCATATAATAATACAAAGTCTAACATAAATTGATTTTTACACTACTTTACCTTTACAACTTATGAAACATAAATTAATTGTGTGTGGGATCAATAAAGTTGTATTTTATAGTCCTGTAAGAAGTTTTAATACATTGTTTTTGGTACCTGTTTTTCTCAAATTGTGTGTGTGTGCGTATGTGTGTATGTGTTTGAATAAAAGATGGTGCAGTATTAACGTAAATCTCTGTTAAAATGTGCTTTATGAAACAAAGTCCATTCATTTGTAGTAGTTCACAGCGCAGCGGTGCCWCCTCCAATATGGGGGACGCACAGCCTCGTCACAGCAGCAGACCGACACAGTCAACCAGGCTTCTACGTATTCATTTCCGTGGTTAGCACAGTTAGTAAACACAATTTTTCCCCCTTGATTTTTTTTATTTTTGGGCACAAACATCAGGGGAGGTATCTTGCTGAGTGGGCAAAATATCAGGAGCGCGAAAGAAAACGAGTAACGTGCTCAGATCCACTGCCATGACTTTATAGTGGCTGAGAATGCAATGAGTGCAACGAGTGTTCCAAGAAGTTTCAGAGAAAGTGAGAAGGTGGAAATAGAGGTCRAGATCGAGGATGAAGAAGATGATCGAGCTGAAGGCCGACCATCTCAACCCAATCAAGACACTCAAGTGCAGGAGCCCTGGCCTCAGTTGCAAACAAATGCTTCCATCTGTCTTTCTTTTTCAGTAATTTATTCAGTAATCCATCTGTGAGGTGTGGATTATAATTGCTGCTTGAAAACGGTTGTCTTTAATTTATTCAGCTGCCTCAAAAGAAAAATTGTCAGTTTGACAACTGTCCTAATAAGCCATAGCTCTTTGTGTCATCTAGCTAACAAATAAGAGCAAATGTGGGGAAAAGATATTGAAATTTTTCAG